AAATACGGAAGCATCGGTAATACGGATTGTGTAGTTGGCGTAGTTTATCGATTGTACGAGTTAATTTTGAGAGTTGAGGTATAGTGAAGTTGTATTGTTTTCGCATGAAAGTTTGTATTTGGGATGACCGCAGCGTTTTGGATCGGTATTGAGCCTGAAAGGATAGCTAATGTTGCGAATTCCGCCACCCGAAGAAGGGGTGTTGTACTTAATTTGGTTTCCATGGGATTTTTTGATGATGTATAATTGGGTGGTGATGAAAAAATAAATGAATTTGAGGAGGAGGCTTTGGCTGATGATATACATCTATGTATGAATTTTTTGTTGATTAATTTGAAAAGATAGAACTAAGCATACTAAATAGGGGTTGTTAGTAGAATCACCACTTATATAGGTAAATGAAGATGGACTGTTCCACAAAAGATGACCTATTGATCGGAGCAAGTGAGTTTGTATCAATTGATCTTGTAGGTTTATCCAGTTCACCTATATAGTTGACTGCAGGTTCCTTCATTATAAAAAAAATGAGGATTGACACATCCCGTTTCTCATTTTTATGAGAACCCTCAGTTTATTTACTTAAATAAACATTTAACAAAAAAATCAACAAAAAAAAAGGCTAACATCGAAGACCATCGGTTAACAGCTGACCCGCCAAAAAAAAAATAGAAAAATCAAGGTCGGAGCCCGGCGGTCAATCCCGGTCAGTGGCCGAAAAAAAAGGTCATAATTTGTTTTCAAGAAATTGTGAAAATGAGGGTTAATTTGATATATTTGTTAAAAGAGTTTATTACAAATAAGCCTTTCATGGGCTACTTATTCATAAAGTATCCAGACCAAAAACGTTTTTACAAAAAACTCTAGACAATGTCCAGAGGTGTGTAAATGACTAAAATACCTCTCATATTTTAATATGCTCCAATTTCATCATGTAATCCAATTTAACATTAATTTGACCCCAAATTTTACCAATTATTCAATTTTGACCCCTAACCCAAATTTGACCATCGCCCCCGTTGACGGCCGGTCTCCGGCCTTGATTCTTTTTTTATTTTTTTAAGGCGATCAATGCCGGTGTTCGGCGGCGTTGACTATTTTGTTTCTTTTTTGAAACTTTTTTTTCTTTAACATTTTTGGCCCGTTTAATTTGTAATCATACTGTAGTTGACATTACTATTAAGTTTTAATTAGTAATAGAGATGTGATAAATGTCGTTCGAGCTTTAATAATACCATCACGACTTCAAACGTGATTTTAATCATTTTTAATTCCAAATTTTGCAAAACCCGAAAATAGAATTTGTAGTATTATGAGTTACTTTTATAATCCAACTTGAATCACCAAAATTAGATGTCGGACGAAAAAGATATACATGAATCAGTGGATACTGCCCACAATTTTGATGTATTGAGGTATCTAAAATTCAAAATGTGCTCTTTCATGCATAACATTGTCACACTGCATCCAATCTAGCGGACTTAAGTTGGATTAGAAAGCTAACCCAAAGGACTACAATTTTCGTGTTTTGAAATTCGCCAAAATCAAAATAGAAATATGTCAAAATTAGGTTCGAAGTCCTAACGACATTAGTAAAACTGAAACGACATTTAACATTTTAGTTAGTAATAATACTGTTAACACAGTAATATTAACTATACTATTGTTTAACACAATAATATTACTATATTACTCCTTAGCACATTAATATTAACACAACAAAAATAACTATTATTGTTTAATACAGTAAAATTAATATATTGACCGTTCAACAATGGCAAACATAAAAGCCAAAAAAAATTAATATTGATGTGGTTGACAGTAATATTACTGTCAATCATAGTAGCATTACTGTAACCACATTAATATTATTAGGTTGACCGGTCAACAAATCAAACAAAAAAAACTTAATATTGATATAGTTGACAGTAATATTATTATGTATACAGTTTTTGTACTGTCAAATTATTTATTTGAGTGGTCTACCTCGTATCATTTCTCCAATTGAGAGGGTTCCTTCGACCTTACACCCGGTGAAAAACACCGGGTGGGTCTTTTGCTGTCACGTGTTCTTTTTTTTTATTTTTCTAAAACCCCTAAAGATAAACCCTAGCGGGAAATCTATTATAAAATACAAAAAAGAGACACGTGGCAGCAGAAGACCCACCCGGTGTTTTTCACCGAGTGTAGGGTGGAACAAATCAATTGAGAGGGTGCCGCTAATTTTCCCAAAATATTAACTTCATGCGCGTAAAAACTTTGAATGCTTGACTTTTCCTTGCAATGGTTGAGGAAAAATCAAATACTGAAGAATGTAAAATTATGCAATGCTATTTTAGTCAAATGAAATTAGAAATAAATGTATGGGAAGAAAATAGTTGAATTAATATCCAAAGGGTGGGGACCACCAAAGTTCCGTAAAAGTGTTTACTAGTTGTTTCGTGCTATTAAATTCATTCCACCAAAGTAAAGAAAATAAAAATTAAAAACTAATTAAACCCAGCCCGTGGCCGTGTTTTTTTTTTATTTTCATAGTTTATTATTTTAGTTTATGGGGCGGTCTTTGGGTTGGGTCCGGGTCAAACCCGGCTCGTGGCCGTGTATAATCGGACTCATACTGCAACGGAGTACGAAATATGACCGACTTGAAGATCATCGACAATAAGTACCGAAGGCTTGGCTTCAACTGCAAATAGCTTTTTCTCTCGCTCTCTTCACTTCTTCTCTTGCCCATGCTTTTCTTTTAAGATCGGATGCAAGAAGTCCCCGATCTCTAATACGACCCGGATCATCCGGATTGTTCGACTTTCCACCCAAAGCTTTCATCAAACTCTTACATTTTCCCGCAACTTGACTCATTAAACTTTTCCCTCTATCTCCAGCCATCTATAATGTAACATAAAAACTGAATTAGTATTTAATTAAAAAAAAATTAAAAAAAAATAAATAAATAAATAAAAGTTCTCATGTGAAAATGAGCGAGCAGATCTATTATGTTCGTGTAAAGGCCAGCGAGAACAATAGATTTGCTTCGCGTTTTCGCACGAGCAACATAAACTAAGAAAATAAAAATTAAAAACTAATTAAAATAAATAGAGCTCGTGTGATTTTAGGCGAGCTCGGTGAAATAAGCTCGCGTGGTTTGACACGAGTACAACCCTCCTGTTGGCCTAATACACGCGCTGATGCAATTATATAAAAAATGGATTTTTATAATTATACCTCAACTCAGGGGTGTTTGTAATTTAGTAATTTACTCATCATTCTTTTAGCCTATTAAAAAATGCATAGCAATTCTTACTTTCTCGTTTATTTATTTTGAAAAATAGAGTTGTGTAGTTGAAAAATTAAAAATACGAAAGGAATTACTATAAAGAAAAAGTAGAGAAAATACAAAACAAAACCAAAGAAATATAATAGAAAGAGAAAATGTGCATGACTTTTCATTATGTTATAAAGAGAAACAAAAAAATCGTATTTCCGAAGTAGGGGAGAGCATGATATACAGATTAAATGCATCAATTGAAATATTAATAATATTGAAATATCAATAACATTTTTACTTTATTAACCATAAATAATATATAGTGTAACTTACTAACTAAGGGTAAAATAGGTATCACAAAAAAAGTAGAGAAACTAAAAACACTCATGCTTTTAAAGGTAAAAAAAAAAAGTAGATAGATCGATTAAAGGTAGGGTATATAGATTATGGTTGATTTGATTGATTAATTTGCATAATGAAATGATCAAATATCAACAACAGAGATCATATTATTCAGCTCTTTCAGGAATTTAGTAGCTTCAACACAATAAAGATTTTTTTATCTTTTTTTTACAAACAACACAACAAAGTTCTACAATGGAAAAGAGAACAACTACTCTTCTAATATGATTGACATCTGAGTTTGATAATGTTTTCCATCAATGGGATTTGTAGTAGCTGGAAATGGATTCGGAGGCATTGTAAGATCGTCACATTCTCCTTCCAACATTTGAACCACAACTTTCATTGACGGACGATCTGTCGGACACCACTGTATACACCACAACCCTACTATACTAAGTTTCCTTGCTATACTATTTCCTTCTTCATCAATTTGTGCCCACATTGGATTATCCTCCGCATTTATATGATTGTATATCCATTGAGGGAAATATACCTGACTAGTATTATTTACATTATGATCCTCGTTTTTTCTCCCTCCTACCATTTCGAGCAACAACATTCCGAAGCTATAAACATCGGACTTATACGAAACCCTCCCGAAAGTCCTGGACAGAACTTCAGGTGCAATATATCCCATTGTTCCTCTAGCCGCAGTCATTGTCACTGCACTTTGTTCCTTTGAGCACAACTTTGCAAGGCCAAAATCGCAAATCTTCGGGTTGAGGTTGTGGTCCAACAAGACGTTTTGCGGCTTTATATCGAAGTGGAGTATTTGTTGATCACATCCCTCATGTAGATATTCTATGCCTTTTGCTATGCCTAGCGCAATATCCTTTAGCTTTTCCCAATCAAGAGTAATTCTATTCGAACCTGCTTGGAAAATGGACTTTTCTAAAGAACCGTTTGGTAAGAATTCATAAACAAGAGCTCTTCGAAATCCATCGGCACAAAATCCAAGAAGACGGACAATGTTGACGTGGTGTATTCTCCCAATCGTACTTACTTCATTGACAAACTCCTCTCCGTTTCCCTTGGAATTGTTGAGTACTTTCACTGCAACATCTATTTCATTGTTCAACTTTCCTTTGTAAACAATTCCATAACCCCCTTCGCCCAATTTCTCGTTAAATTGATGAGTAATCCTTTTTATGTCCGAATACGAAAATCTACTCGGCTTAAGGGCTTTGTAATCTCGCAAAAACTTCCCAATCATCGTTCGGTTCTCTCGGTATATTCTAACTCTGATGTAAAGATAGACGAAGGCTGCGAGTAATATCGCGGCAAGAATGGAACCAAAAGCTTTAAAATAGAACATATAAGTCAGATTCTTAAACTAATCCATTAGTTGCTTAAAAATATCAAAAAAGGAACAGAAAAAATGTTCACCTTCAATTAGTATTGCTGCACGATGGTTTGTGGTTGCAAGACACGGAACATGACGATCCAATGTCGTAGAATTAAATGAGCTGCATATTTTGACTTTATTTTCACATTTGGTACATGCTGGTTCAGACCACCCCAAAGAGAAGTCATTTTCTCGAATTAATTCCCACGGAAAAGATTTTAATTCATATGTTTTGGTACAAGAAGTCAAAGGAAGTGATTCAAGCGGCATTTTCGAATGAACGGCATAGGATTGGTACGTGGAATCGCCAAGGCAAGGAATTAAAGTTCTGAAATCTCTTACTGGTGGATCAGAACAATTGAACAGGGTACAGTTTTCTAAGAACTTTATCAAGAAATGGAAAGGGGAAGCAGATAAGTTTAGATGTGGTAACTTTTGCGGAAAACATTGTTCTTGGTCATAAACATCAACTCTTTGAGATGCATAGTTGATTTTCTTTACTATAACATTAACCGAGAACGGGAGCACGAGCACGGTATCGTTTTTATAGTCGCAGAATAAATCAAAACCTGGATAGCCACAACGTTCAGGTTGCTGATTTTTACGTCTGAAAGGAAACTGAATTGTCGGGCCATGTTTTCTGCAACTGGTTGGCATACAATCATCATCGGTTCCTAGTACTAGTACAACAAGTGGTAAGAACAAAAGAAAGTAAACGAAGAAAGACATCTGAATTATGAAGATTTCTGTATTTGCTATTATCATTTATGTTCAAAGTAAACTGTGGTGGAGCAGATCAAATGATAGTACATCATATATAGTATTAAACTGTTTTCTTCAAGTTACATTCTTGACTAGTTCCTTAACTGACCTGATCATAAATTCGTTTCTTTTGCAACTAGCATAAATCTAAAAGGAAATTACTTGAATACTTTGGTAAACAAAATTATTATTAGGGCGAAAGGCAAATAGGCCCATCACATGGGATTTAAATGCACATTGGTCCATTAAAAAAAACAGTCTTTCAAATAAACCCATCCTCATGCCTTTAGTCTATAATACCCTCCATAATATAATTCTTATCAATTGCATCCATTATGCTCTAACTTCCTTAATATTACACATTGACCCCGGATTTAAATAAATATATCACATTAACCCCAAAATAATAATTTTTTGAAAAAAATATTTTTTTTTTCTGAAATTTTCTATTTCCGGCCAGATTCCGGCATTGACCGCCGGTCTCCGGCGTTGACTATTTTTTTTCGTAGAAAAAAATATTTTAATTAATATTACTGTCTTGGCTACTTTCTTAGACAATAATATTACTGATTGGGACAGTAATATTATGAATATTATTTTCCCGAACAGTAATATTATTAAGATTACTGTCTGAGACAGTTAAATTACTGTTGGAGACAGTAATTTAGTAGCCAAGACAGTAATATTAATTAAAATATTTTTTTTAAGAAAAAAAATTCAAAAAAAAAAAATCAACTAACAGTTAAATTACTGTCTCCGACAGTTAAATAACTGATGGAGACAATAATTAAGCAGCGAAGAAAGTAATATTAATTAAAAATATTTTTTTAAGAAAATAAAATCAATTAACAGTTAAATTTCTGTCTTGACAGTTAAATAACTGCTGGAGACAGTAATTTAGCAACGAATACAATAATATTAATTAAAATATTAAAAAATAAATAAATCAATTAACAGTTAAATTACTGTCTCCGACAGTTAAATGGAGACAGTAATTTAGCAGCCAAGACAGTTATATTAATTAAAATATTTTTGCAGAAAAAAAAAGTCAATTAACAGTTAAATTATTGTCTCTGACAGTTAAATAACTGTTGGAGACAGTAATTTAGTAGCCAAAACAGTCATATTAATTAAAATATTTTTTGTAAGAAAAAAAAAAAAAAAAAAAAGTCAACGCCGGATATCGGCGGTCTCCGGTGGTGGCGGGTTAAAATTGGGTCAAAGTTGAAATTATGGTTAAAATTGGTTACTTGATGAAATTGGGCTAAATTGAGGTGTAAATCATGAAATTGGAGTTGAATTGGGTTTCATTGAATTGGGGTAATTTTGGAATATATAAAAAGATTTTCCTTATTTGCAAATAAGTTTGAATGGGTTGGATTTATTTAAAAGACAAAAAAGTTGGATGTTCCTCTTTCAATTAATTAAGTGCCCTTGTCATGGGCCGGTTTGCCATTTGCCCTTATTATTATATTTAAAAGGGTTAATGAGATATAAACCCCTCAGTAAGAAAAATATTAGGACTAACCACCCCCATTTAATTTTAATAAGGCAAACCCCCTCAATTAGTGATTTACCATGCGTACCCTCACATTTTGTGTGAGAAAAAGACCCCCCCCCCCCCCCAATCTTACGAGAAAACAGATACATTCATAGAACTTAACTATCTTCCTAAACCACTGCAAGTACGCTGAAGATATTCCAAAAATTGCTCCTGAACAAATCTTCATAAAAACACGCTCTCTCCATCTTCTTCTCTTCTTCTCCATCTCCCTTCTCTCCAACTTTTCTCTTCCATCTTCTCAACGAAAACAGTTTGCTGTATATGTTCAGCAAAGGTGAAGGGCCAGTGGTGTGCACTAGCGGCGATGGGATGCGATTCACAACGTTGGCGGCGGAAAGCAACACGGTGGTGAGGCGGTTGTGTGCAGGGATGTTGAAGATCGGTGGTTTGCGGCGACCATATGTGATGGTTCAGAATAAAGTTTCTAAACAATCTTGTTTTTTATATCTACAAATCAATGGTCGCATTATTTGATGACTCATAAATTTTGTTTCCCTCAAAATTTATTTTATCAGAGCCCACAATAAAGAAGGGATCATATGGCAAAAAGCATAAAATATTGTAGTCATCTACACCCAGAGTCAACTATAAATTGTGGGTAGTTCACTATATTTTTCCGAAGTCAACTATAATTTTTCCGAAGTCAACTATAATTTTTCCGATGTCAACTATAAAAAAATGTAGTCAACTATAAAAAAAATGGGTAATTAACAATATTGCTGCCAGAGTCAACTATAATTTTTCCGATGTCAACTATAAAAAATTGGTAGTTAACTATATTTTTTTTCTGTAATTCACTATATTATTATTCGATTGAAGAAACTATGGTGTTGTAAAATGGAATATTGACGATAATAAATCTCATTTCCTGTGAAAACACGACATTTTATAGAGTAGAAAATAGATTGATTTCAACGACCAAAAAATAAGATGTAGAAGAAAAGACAAAGTAGTGGGAAGAAATGGAGAAACATACAGAGAAAAAAAAAAGAATCAGAAAGTGACGAGAATGGAGAAAATGGCAGAAGAGAGGGATGATAGAGGAGAGAGGAGATAGGGAGAAGAAAAATAAAACAAAAAACAAGATAAAGTGAGGAAAAAAAGGAAGAGAGAGAAATGAATGGAGAATATAAAATTACAGATAAGAGAGAAATAAGGAGAAGAGAGAGAAAGGAGAAAAATATGGACAAAAATGGCATAATGGGCATTAACATAAGATTAGGGGGTCACACAATTCAGAAAATATGATATGGGTTTGTTTATAAAGTGTAAATTATAAATTGGGCTCACACTCTATTATTTTACCTAATGAGAGGGTTATCCCTCATTTTCCCTATTTAAAAATAAGGTAAATTACGAGAAAAGAGAAAAACCATCACGTATTCATAAATACCAAACACCCCCTCCGATTAACGGTTGACCAAATATTTTTACAGAAAATATGAAAGGTCTATAATACCCTTCAGTTAAATAAAAATTAATAAAGCCGTAAATTACATAAAACTGTAGTGTGGTCTAGTTAGCGAAAAACACGTCAGGTATCCATAATTACTAAAAACACCCCAATGTTTGTTTCCATCTGACAATGACCCCTGCATGATTGACTTCTAAAAAAAGGAAACTTGTCTTTGAAGGTTTAAATCAACAACCTCCTGCAGTTTCCGACGGCGGTGATCGTAGTATTCCGCAGAGGCATTTGGTGATTTTTTTGTTCAACTTCAACATCATATATTTTTACTCTGGTGAATTTCGATATATTTCGAAAAATTTATGATGACTTTAATTTCTAGTGATATTTATAATATCAAATTTTTAATTTTTTTAATTTTTTATTTTTTAATTTTTCATTTTTTAAAGCAAATTAGAATTATATATTTATTTCAAGGTGATAATTCCGCTCAATATTTGAGAAGAGCTACTAGTTGTACCAAAAGACGAAATTCCTTGCTCCAGGGCTCCCATCCCTTGGAGGAACCAACCCTCATTGCAGTTGAAATTTCCATATTGCGGCTGCCAGAATTCGATTTTAGAACCCTGTACCAACTTACCATCTCCGGAATCAGTTGAGCTATACTCATGCGGGCGAAGAGCTACTAGTTGAAGCCATAGAAAATGGTTGTATTTGTACATTAAGTGAGCGGTCCTTTTGGTCGGTAAATAATATATGGTTAGAAATCAAGAAGTTGTTTGCAATATAATATTGACGTGGTTGTTTTAAATACATTTAGTGAGCAATCCTTTTGTTGGTAAATAATAGTTATTTTGGAATCAAGATGTTAGTTGCAATTAGGGTGGAAATCAGAATGAAATTTCCGATTTCCGCCGGTTCCCATCTGAATATTTCCGATTTTAGAACAATATTTTGTTGTCCGATTTTCGAAATTCCGATTTCCAAATTTTCTGAAAAAAATCGGATCGGAATCGGAATTGCATATAAAATATTCGGAATTTCCGAATTCCGATCCAAAATAATTCCGAAATTTCCGAAATATTTCCGAGTAATTCCATTTTTTTCCGAAATTATTGCTATGTATTATTTATTATATATTATATTTTATTATATTACCCAATTACTACTTGGGTCCTGGACAAACCTTTCCTATTAACTCTACTCTAGCAAAGCCCACTAACTTTACCGAGCTCATTAAATTTACTTAAACAAAGTCCAGAATTCAAAACCTAATTTAAGATTAAAAAAAGAAACACCGAAGTGCTCTTCTCTTCTCCGTTCTCCCAAGCAGCGGCGGCGGCGGCGATCTTTTCTCCTTCGAAGCGACAATGATTCTCCTTCAAACCGTTCCATCTAAGCAAAAAATCTCTTATTTTTCTTTTTCTTCTTCTTTGCTTCTTCTTCCTTGTAAAGCCGTTGTTTGTGCTCATCTCGTATTTTATTTATCGATCTTAATAATAGGTAAGTTTTCTATCGTTTTTCTCCTCCTTTCTTCAGCCTTTTCAGCTTATTTGATTGTTTTTGCCAAGGATTTTGGATACATACAGTAAATATAATGGTTTTATAAAAGAATTCCAAAAAATTCCATAATTCCGAATTTTCCGAAAAAATCGGAATCGGATTTCATATGTAGATTACGAAAAAATCGGAATCGGAATCAGAACTCATAAAACACTTTCGAAAAAAATTAGAAATTTTCCGAAAGCCCCATTTCCGATCCGATCCGTCCGATTTCCACCCCTAGTTGCAATATAATATTAAAAGGGTTGTTGTAAGTTATAACTATAAATTTAGTGACGTATCCTTTTGGTTGGTAAATAATTTTTATTTAGCAACCAATTAGTGGGTTGAAATATGGTTAATAGGGGTTTTTGAAGTCCTAACCAAGCATCTTTATTATTTTAGGTTTAGGGGCTATATATCTTTCACCAATAAGCCCATCCTTTTAATTTTTTATTATAAATAAAGGAAACATTCATGTATATGACA